TTGGGAGGCTTGCCGGGACGCCACGGGGCGCGTCCAAGGGGTCATGGGTTGATGATGGAAAGCAGCCCATGACATTACAGATGTTTCAAACATTTTGTATGAAGCTTCAAACATCTTAATGAGATATTTCAAACACTCAGCTCAAAATATTATTAACCAAACCCAGATAAGCATTGCAATAACTTCATAGCATACAACAATAACAACACGAATATTTAACAGTATCTTAAGATGTTTCAAACACTCAACTAACATGTTTGAAACATTTGAGCAAAAAAGAATTTCACAAACCCAAAATAGAGCAATATAACTGTTTCAATATCACAACAACTAATTTTATAGGCACGCGGAACAACCACATCAATGGCTACAATTAAACAACATAAAAATATCAAATTTTTGATCAAAAATATCAACTACACAATAACTCTAGAATTTAGGCACAAAAACTACACAACAACGAGAAGATACAAAAACACCCCCAAAAAATAAATTTAGGGTTAAAATAACAAGTTCGAGGTTTATCAATATGATTTAAAAAAAAAGAAGAAAAAAACTTGCCTTAATGATGAAATTTCAACTTCAAAGTAAATTTGAAAGGAATGGAGCCGATTTTTGAAGCCCTATAGTAGTATTGAGTTTGGAGATTGAATTTGAGAGAAAAATTAGAAAAGCATGGGGGAAAATCGTGTGTAATTTTGAAAAGAGAAGAAAGAAAAAAGATAGAAAAGTTGGAAAATCATCTCATTAAAAGATTTTTTTTTTTTTTTTTTTTTTTTTTTTTGTGTTTTAAGATTTTATCCCAAAGTTTTTTTATTTCTAATTACATCCTTCTTAATTAGAACCCGTTTGTATTGGCTTATTTTAAGTTATTTTAAGCCAAAATAGCTTTTAAGTTATTTTGTAGTATTTGGATAAAGTAAAAAAATTCTTTTAAGTACTTATTTTTAAACTAAAATGATAAAAATAAGCCAAAAGCAAAAAGTTAGAATTCCTAAGTTATGACTTTTGGCTTATAGTTAAAACAAGCCCATCCAACGTGGCTCTTAGTAAGACTTTTGTTAATAAAAAGGTGTCCCAAATACTTACGTAATAGTTGAGATGTCTTTTTAACACATTTTTCCCCACACATATGCATAATTTGGAAAAGAATTCCTTGATCAAGGCCCTCGACACGAAAGGAGGAGACGGATAGGGACGGAGAAAGCAGAGAGAGCTAAAGCAGTAACAATTTTTTCTTTCTTCTTCTTCTTCCCCGAGCTGTCAAACCTCCATTAGAGTCCCAAAACAGTCCGAAAACTCACCCCAAAACAGTCACAAAACTGACCTTTAACCTCCATTTTCGGACAACCAAACACCCCATCCTTTTTATCTAGATCTCAGCCTTCAAACACCATAAAAATGCAGCAAAAGCTCCATAAAATTCAGTCCAAAAGCACTCCAAAATCCAGATCCAAAACAGCCCAAACTTCAACTGTGCGAAAGTCAGCTTGAAACCACCATCCAGACCCAGCAGAGATGAGTCCGTTCGGGAACGCCGATTTCGGTCCGGGTTTCTAGTTTGTAGCTCGCTTGAGGATTACTGTTCTAGAGTTTCTATTTTCATTGTATCCGCTCTAAAATTTCACCAATAAAAGGTCCGTTCTTTCATCTCTTCCCTGGTTATTTATCCATATGTGTTGTTACTTGCTTGCACGAATGAATAGATGGCATGACATTCCAGTTTGTTTTCATTGATTTTTTGGATCATTTAATATGATTTGTTTCCTTATTTCAACATTGATGAATATTAAGCCATATGGATTTTGAGGTAAACTTTTGTCTTAGCTATCGACATTATATTAGAATTGAGCAAATAGTTTGGATCTAAATTGGTCCCAGAGGCGTGAGCACAAAATCTAAAGGGGTTGAATCATCTAGTAGTGTTGTATTCCTTTGTTTTAAGTTAGGTTTTCGTTGATTTATTCTTCTGGTTGGTCTTCGCTTAATAAAGTAAGGATGGATACTGTTAATGGAATGTGGAGTTTGTTTGACACTTGAAAAGAGAAATCCAGTCATTATGGCATGAACATGCTAATTGACCCTTTTGTCCTTTAATAATTGATTCGCCAAATATAATTCCAAATTGAAAGAAGATTTATAGGCGCTAGTTGCTTTAGGCGCAATTAATAAAATGATTGTCACAGTTGTGGGTTAGGCCCAACTGTGATATCTAACTCCAAAATTCAAGTGTGCATTTATGTGACTTGATACCTCAATTTCAAATAATAATAATAAATATGGTTAAATCGCGGGTACGTTTCGCGTGGCGTGATTTGCAATGTGTGTGAAACAACGAGTGCACAACATCGTGCCCCGTTCAAAATAAACTCCATAATTACTTAAAATATTGCAATTAAAAGCGGTAAAATGGTCAAACACACATAGGTCTAAAACGTGTAATCATCAGATATTTAAGCCAAGTTTATTTGTTGAGCGATCGTGCTAAAACCATAGAATTCGGGAGTGCCACACACTTTCTCCCGGGTTAACAGAATTTTTTACCCGGTCTTCTGTGTTCGCAGATCATAAATAGAGTCAAACTTTCTTGAATTGAGATTCCAAATTTGGTGACTTGGAACACCGTAAATAATTATTTCAAGTGGCGACTCTAAAAATAAAAATAAAACAATCTCATTTCAAATAATGTCACTTTAATTGAAAAAACTCCTTATCTTCGAAAAAAGGAGGTGCGACAACCATTCCCTGAACCGTGCGAGCAGTACTTTCACTACATATTGTTGCATGCGTTCCTCTTTGGTGTCGAAGATCCCGTATACCTGATTTTCAGATCCCGTATACCTGATTTACTATCAGTTGGGAATCATATTTGCTACCCCTACTGAAAACCGAGATCGTGTTCATCTCCCTTGCCGCCGGTAGATCACCTCTTATTTGTTTAATTCCTTCTGGAGTTGGGAATTTCAGAAGTTGATGATATGTTATGGCATAACCTTCATCTCGTACAGCCATGGTCTTCCAAGAATAATGTTGTAGCCCATGTCGCCGTGTACTACTTCAAACAGGATCGTCTTCATGACCCCTTTGGTGTTTGTGGGCAGCAGGATCTCCCCTCGGGTTGTCACACTTACTAGGTTGAACCCGACGAGGAGCTTTATGGACGGAATGATGCTTCCGGTTAGATCCACCAAAACACGTTTAATTTTAAAATCTAAAACGTTAAACAAAATTAACAGGGGATCGTTGTGCGGTAGTAGGAGTACATTTGCGTCCTCCTCCGTGAAGGTGATATCATCCTCGGTGACTTCCCGGAGTCTCTTGCTATGGGTCACTGATACCTTTGTCTTTTTTGCTACTGAAAAGGTTACACCATTAATCTCGTTCCCCCCGAAATTATGTTGATCGTTAGACGAGGAGGATCCGCAAATAACTTGGTTCCGGGAGCAGAACTTCTGAAGGCAGTAATAAGACTATCAATAGACTAGAAATAAAATATTATTGAGCTTTAGAATAATGTGTAGCATAAGTTTGTCAGAAAATTCGTGTCCCCTACAATAGTTGTTAAAGTCACTATTTATAGCTGCACCTAGGGAACAAGGTCCTAGGATCAAGCTCCTCTTAAATGATAATCATGGGGGCCATTGATGAATGTATAACAGCAGGCTATGAATTCCAAAATTCTCTATAACAGATTGTGTATTTGATACTGAAAAATATATTTTTTATTGAATGTCATCGGGTGACAAACGTTCATTTGTCTTCATTAGCAATATTCCCTTCAGGGTCTTCCCGGTGCCAACCGAGACTGCTGTCCCCGGTCTTGGTTTCTACTTGCTTCGCTTTTTGTCTGTCTTCGGTTCCACGTGTCGCTCTATTATTCGAGTATTTAATTCGAACCGATTTTACCCTATACAAACAGATTAAAATTTTATTGAACATCTTCAACAATAATATAATGAACTTCAGGCTAGTGTCATGAAGTTAGCTATAGAATGAAGAACTTCAGGCGGATAGGCCAGTGTCGTGAAGTTTGAGTTGTGATAATTCGAACTATTTGAACTTGGCTGTTCAACAATGTGGCTAAACGTTAAATCCATTATAAGATTCGGCTAGGTTTTAAATAGAACCATTTAAAAAGTGGATACATGATGTCATTTGTACCTATCTACTGTATTCTAGCCCAACGGCCTGAAGCCCAATTGCTCTCCCGTCATCTTTGCCGGAAAACGGAAGAAACCACTATCTCCTCTTGTCGGAGCTTTCCCTCATTTTGCTCAAAAGTATAAATTTAATCTGTTTACAGCTCTATTTTTTGCTCCTTTTTCACACTTTGGTAGTTTCTAATGTTGCATTTGATTGATTGAAAATCCCCTTTAGCAGCTTGAGTTGAATTAAGTGCTACTATTGTTTTTTTAGATTCTCATTTTTTTGGTTGAAAATCCTCTTTTAGCATTTGGTTTCAATGTGTTTCAGGTCTTTGAGGAATTTTAATTATTAGACCATTTGGTTGATCTTGAATTATCTGCAAAGTAATCAACTTTGTTGCTTCCTTTTTTGGCCTTTAGTTATCATTGGATGTCTTGCTACAATGAAAAGCTTTATTAACTTGTCGTAACCGGTTAAGAATTGAACACAATGGGTATTTAAGTGGAGAATGGTAGAGCGGCAGACCCATTATCCCCGAGTTTTGAAGGCTGTGGTTGGTCATAAGGGTTCACCCCAGATGGATGTCTAGGTCATAAAAAAAAAGAACTAAATATAGAACACAATGGAAACAAATGAAAAATATTGTACCAACTATTTGGGGTCAAAGTAATTATCTTCAGCAGGAAAAGTGTGAGATTTAGGCAACCTAAGTTTCTGCTTAAGATGGATTATTTGGTCTTTGAACTAATATGAGATTGAGGGATAGTTGATTGATAATTAATGGTTCATTGAGAGTTTGTCCATGGACTAGTTTACAGTAATCATAAAATAACCTCTCTACCTAAGGTAGGAGTAAGGGTGGGTACATACTACCCTCCCCAGACCCNGGGGGGGTCACATTTAAACATCATATGCTTGTGTAATGAAGCTTTGCGACTATGCCATTCTTGGCGACGGTGATTGCCGACGAGAAGGTGACGGCCACTTAGCAAGGGCAGGATATGGAGGTGGAGGAAAGGTTATTGAGCTGGATAGATGGCACAAGGGTGTAGCAGTGGGGTTTAAGGTTATGACAAGTGTTGGGGAAGAAAAGGGGAATGATCAGAATCTAAGGGATACTAGTTGCTTTTTCTGTTCTCCGTTTCTGCTAGATCTAAGTTGCTTTTACTAATATTAATTGCTTTATTACTAGGAAAATACAACTGTAAGTTTGAAGCTTATATTTAGTGCGCATCCTGTTTACATTGTTGCTGAAGTCTGATCTCTTCCTCTTCCATAGTTGCAGTCACATGTTCACGAATAGCCAAAGGCAAGACGAACGCACTGGAAAATATGGAACTCCGAGGGTGGAATACCTTCAGGTTAGGCCTCCTTACTCGATATATTTGATCGTCTGACATTATGTAAGGAAGAAGACTGGAACTGCTCAACTGCAGAACTTCATATGCTGATATTAAGAAAACATTACTTGTACATGAAATTCCTGGATATGCAGAAAACTTGTTTGCATATTTCACTAATCAATTCCTTCATTCTTGTTTCAGGAATTGGTAACTCAGTTTCAGAATGCATCTTCTGAAGGTATGCTTAGAGTTTTATTCAACTGCTTCGTTCTGTGTCTACAATCTTGGATTATACTGTAATGAGACAAAATGTTTTATCAGAATATCATATTGACCTCTTTGTTGAGTCAATTGCAATTATTTGATCAGGGAGTTCGTAGGTGTTTTCCAGATTACAATAATGTTAATATTAAGATAAGAACATGGTAAACAAGCATTAATACTTTCAAGTCACAAGAAAGCTGTGTTCATATTTGTAGGGCAACTTATTGTGGAGTTGAGTTTTTCATGCGAGATGTTGAGTGAAAGAGCAACTGTTTGCACTGACCAGAAGATATCTGTTAGCTGTGGCAACACGACTACATCTGTCCGAAAAAGAGAAAAAGAATCAAAGGGATAACTGCCTAATTGCTTAGATGTCTGTCCTCTCCTTAGCATCAGGCTAACACTCCGAGCACAATCAATAGTGCTAACTGATAGAGCCTGTCAGTCTGATATTTTGGGTTGCTATTAAGTGGGAAGTTAATTTCATGTTTGCCAAAGATTAAGCCAATATAGAAGCAAGTAACTATAATGTGCTTTTGTTTTTCACTTCTCGTTTCAGCTCTATATGGTTTGATACATTCTTGTTACTACAGAGACGAAAGAGAAGATTGTTGCTAATTTGGCGAACTTTGCATATGATCCTTACAACTATACCTTTTTGCGCCAGGTTAAGAATCTTCTGATGAGTAGTTTAATCTTGTTATTGAATCATCTTTTCCTGTTCTGTTTGCCTCAACTTGTCTTGTAATATTAAACAGCTTAATGTTATAGAACTTTTTCTTGACTGTTTAACTGAGCCTAGTGAGAGGCTTGTGGAGTTTGGGATTGGAGGAATCTGCAATGCTTGTGCTGGTAAGACTAAAGCTTTTGGAATTTATGTTGATTCCATGATTTGGAACTTTTTTTGTTGGTATGCTCTGAATCGCAGTAGACTTACTGTAAGCTGCTCCAGAAAATTAACTCGTGTGCATTTGTGACTTGCAGATCCAGCAAATGCTGCTCTTATCACTCAAAATGATGGTATCCCTCTCGTCATCCAGTGTTTGTCAAGTCCTGTTAGGAACACGGTAAGGACATAAACAAACAGTTTGTGGTCTTCTTGATTATTGAGTGCTTTGCTGTTCACTCGTTAAAATTTGCACATAAACATAGTGAGAAGCACTCCAAACTAACAGTCGTTACTTGGGCTGCCGAGTACCATTGATCTGTCAATCTTGTCGATTACTCTGATAAGAATTTACCTGGCATCAGTGTTATCACATCTTATTGAATGTAGTCGTTTTAACAGTTGGTGTCGTATGAATTTCTGCTACTTTGGGCGGCATCCAGAATAAAAGATGTTTGCCTTTATAAAAAAAGCTCTTAAATTTAGTAGTATTTTTGTTCCTGTCTCCAAGATTATCTTTACTTTACCGCTAGGACCTTCCTTTCACGAGTGAACCCCAGCACGAGCCTACCTTGGTTGAATCAAAAAAGGGTACAGGCATACCTACCTTTACCATATAGGGAATGAACTGAGTTAGAGGCATATGATTTTGCTTCAATCTCTTTGGCTAAACCTAAAGGAGACTTCACTCATTCTAGCTTTCTGAAGGAGGAACATGTCATTTGGAATTTCAGAAACTGAATCTTCTTTTTCAGATCATCAACAGGCTTATGCGTAGTGGTCAGTTTTACTTCTCAAAGTCTATGTCAGTCTCTCATCGACATCCTCTTCTGAGCAGTTACAGTATACGAATTGTTACACAGCGTATTTATCTATAACAATCAAAAATGGTTATTGTTTGCATATGCACATAGAGAGCAACAGTAACACATGTATATGGATGTATGTGCATGCATTTCACCAATGGTTTTAACAAATGAACTTCAAACTGGCAGGTAAATTATGCTCTAGGAGCTCTGTATTATCTTTGCAATGCATCAAACAAGGAAGAGATTTTAAAGCCAGAAGTAATTGATGCCATCAAAAGTTATGCAGCTGCAGTTAATACAAGTTTCAGCAATTTGGCTCAGGCTTTCTTAGATAAACATGTCTAGTACTTGTACTGGTGGGAGGTTATAGGTATCCGTTGGAATACTCGAGGTTCATGCAAGCTGGACCAAACACCACCTTCATAAAATAAAAAAAATGCCCTATGTTATCATCAAAATCCAAACCAATTTCATTTGCTTTGACTTTTGAGTGGCTTACTATCCTGAAATATGACATTTTACTAAGTATACATGTCAAAGTTTTAAAGTGAAAAAAACTTGTGGATACTAAAATTGTCGTAATTCTAGAAAACTAACAGTTACCCCTGCACTCTATATGATATATTTGCGACAATTGTTGCTGAAGAATATTTTAGGAAACAGTATGGTTTGGATGAGTAGAATAAATGATGATGCTAACGTGTCTAATCTGAGTGGTAATCTCAAAATCAAAATGACAAATATTTACAGGATTTATCCCAAAGTTGACCAATTTGTTCCACATAGATTAGATAAATCATGTTTAACCAATTCATTCATTCTTTATTTATTTTTTTGCATCTTCCTATCTGCCTGAAGAACAAAAAGTATATATGTCTCCAACGTGAATGTTTAAATGGAGAAAAATATCGAAGAACTTGTAACCGCACTAGATCAAAAGAAAATGGAAGCAAGAAAGAAAAAGACTCTTTCTTAGAAAAAAGTTACGAAATTTTATGTATTGCAATGTAGTGCAAGCATTGGCATTTCACTCCTTTGAGCAAAAGTTCATCAAGATATTAACTTTAAGGATCCAAGGGTGTGATCTAGTGATCAAGTTTAAATTCTAATAAAAATAAAAAATACCAAACGAAACCTTTTTATTTATCCAACATTGGTGAAAAAGATCATTCAGTACAAGTACTTGAACGACAGGTACTTCATAAAATTAGTCGAAATACGAACAAATTGATCAGGACATCACGGTTATAAAAAAATAATTCTTGGCTAAACTTGATGCAAGGTTTTGCTTTTTGTTAACATCGACCCTTCATGTTTTCACAGTGTTCACTTATCTCAAGGAACTTCACAATTTTTTTTTCCAGCTCACAAGTGAAACATTCAGCATTCAACAAAGACAAGTGTTCATAACGACAAACAAGAAATCAACAAAAATCATATAAGATGATAAACTCGAAATAATAGAACCCCACAATTGTATCTCGTACAAAACACTCTCAAACAAAAGCCAACTCATACTAATGAACCTGATAAGTAAATCCAAAAATATATGTACAGAAAAAAACATAAGTAAAAGTACAAAATGGACACAAGTAAAGTTATCCAAAATAAGCAAAAGGGCTTTTTTTTCTTTTTTCTTTTTACAATAAAACAAACTTTATAGGATTTTTACTTTGATGGGCTGGCCTTCACAACTGTGACAGGACACGTTGCATTTTGCACCACGTGGTTGCTCACACTTCCAAGTAACACCCTGCAAATATATAACTAGTTGCAAATTAACCCATATTGATAATTAAACTGATGCCTTATTTATTCTGATAAAAGATCAGAACAACATTTAATTATTTTTTTTATTTGTGTGAACGCAGAATATTTATCATCCTCTTTTATACATCAATAATGTAATCAATTTTTTTATACCATCAGTATACTTTATTTAAAATAATTCTTCGAATATTTTCTCAACAGACATAGATTGTTAAGTTATCTTGAGGAAAAATGAGAATTTTAATGGTTAAGGTTAAAGAATTTTTTTTGCTTTTTTTTTTTTGGGATGTGTAATTTACCTTTTAAGGACACCTAAACCTCTGCTTCCAACTACAAGTGAATCAAGCTTGAGATGTTCTGCAGCATCACAAAGCTTCTCCCTTGCATCTCCCCAATACACCTTTGCCATAACTATTACCTGTAATTTTCAATTTCCCAACAATTTAATTTCACAAACTAATAATTAAACAATCCTTAATTTTCTTAACACAAAGCTCTTCCAAAATAAGAAAAAGATTTTAACTATGGCAAAATCAGAAATTCTAACAAGTTAATTCAAAAAAAAGAAAGAAAAGATAATACACTTAACTAGGATTCAAACTTAATTATGAACTAAAGTAATTTTTGAACTCCCTTTACCATTACATTTAAAACTTTACTTACATTAAGGGGATTTAAAAATTTAAATATACACCAAAAAATTTATTTAACTCTATTTGTACAATATAATTTTTTTCGAAAATGTTTTCATAGAACTCAATTTCTTTAATGGTCCTTAAGGACACGTCATTGGTTAAGTTATCGCAACCTGAAAAAGAGGAAGAGGAGAAGAAGAAAGAGAAAGAATTAAACTTACCTTTTTAAGCTTGGAAACAGTGTCAAGCATATCAAGAACCTCTCTATCAGGGTTAAGTCCATAATACTTAGACACATTAATCTCTCTAAATTCATCCAAAGGTATTAAAGCTGCAAAATATATAAAATAATTAGCAACATATGTGTTTAATTACAATGAAATAAACAAATTAAAACTTCTTTAAATAAAAAAATAAAAGAAAAAACTTACGAGATCCAGTGTCTTCAAAAAGCTGCTTATTAGTAGTGTCAACTTTAGAAGAAACAACATGAATAATTATGATTTTATCACCTTCTTCTATTAAATTATCAATTGCCCATTTCAGTGCTATTTTGCTTGTTGCTGAATAATCTATACCTATTCCTATTGAACGTGCTTTTGCCATTTTCTTCTTCCTCTTGTTTCTTCTTCTCTGAGTTTTCTGTATTTAGCTTGTTGGATTCTTGTATTTATATAAATTTATGCTTTTGGATTCTGATAATTTAAAGAGTAGAGTTCTTGAAGGACCTAGAAGGTGGAAATCTTTATGTTTCTTAAAGTTAAAGTTATTCTTATATATTTATTAATTACTCCTTTGTTTCAAATTATGTGACGTAATTTAAATAGACTAAAAATTAAAAAAAAAATATTCTTAAAATTTATAATTCGAAATATGTCATAATATTTATACAATTATAAAATTTATAATTTTAAATACGTCATAATATCTGTATGAATATAAAAATATGTCACTAGAGATAAATTAGAAGTTCAAGTTAAATTATTTTTAAATTTAAAAAACTGTTGCATAAAAAATTTACTAATATTATTTTCAGTCCTAAACATTTATCTTTTTGAAAAACTAATTGTTTAAAATACTCAAATTCATAATTACTGGATCTGGTTCCAATAGGTGGAATATGTTAATCAAATGAAACGTTTAAGAGAGATAAATGATAGGTTAGACGAATACTAAAGCGGAGACGGTATTAAAGATCAAGAGATGCAAAATTGACTCTTTTCCCTTTTTCTCGCCTTTTTACTCTTCATAAATTATACTCCTTTCATTTAATTTTATGTAAGATTATATTACAAAAGGAATAATATTTTTTTATATTTAAAAATAATTTAATTTTAATATTTTTAGTTAAATTTTAATGATATTCTTTTAAGCTATATTAATTTTATGCCATATTTAAGATGATAATTTTTACATTTTTTATTTTTTAAACTTCATTATGCCACAAAAGTGGAAATGAGGAGGAAACTAAGAAAAATATACTGCGCTTTTATTATTATTATTATTATTATTATTATGACTTTATGAGATTGTAGAAGGGAATATGACAAAAAGGCTTCTTGTTGATGATAAAGAGGTCACAATCGATATATGCCTCTGTCATTTTCATCTTTTTGAGCTTTTAATTTCCTTTTTATAATTAATAAATTCGCACAACTTCTCGAACATTTCGTGTGGTGTAAAAAAATAATTAGAGAACTTCGAATATTTTAATTTCTTATTCTAGAAGAGTTGCAAATGGTATCTGTTTTTAATTAAAAAAAGTAATTTAGTATTTAAAAAATAATTTGGTTCGGACTGACTTTCCTCACATAATAAATGTATTCCTAAAAATGAAATCAGTTGCTATATATTTTCTCTGCCTAATGAGAGAACTCAACTTAATTATATTCTCACAAAAACGTGGTCATTTGTCACTACAATTTATTTACTCTTGTTTTATTTTTTTTGTTTAATCAACACATAATATTTATTTTCACTCTTTGATAATCGATAACTATCACAAACACCAACCTCCTAATCTCTATCACTAATCATTTTACCAACCCTTAAAAGATGTAAGTTATATTTTCATATATGGTGCAACTTTTCCAAGAGTATTTTTACTTTTATACTAAAAGTTAAGCTAGTTCGACAGCACGAGTAATTTAATTTTATGAACACAAATTGAAAGAACAAATTGTAATTTTAGTGCAAACTAATAAAAGATTGTATGAATATTAGAAACTCGGAGATAAAGTTCCTAAATCTTCCGGTCATTAGCAAAAATAGTGTAGGTTAGGTACACGTTACGAGTTTAAATATAATTTTCTTTTTCGGAAAATTAGAAATTCGCTGCCGCTACCCTTGGCGTGTGCACTGGGTAATTCACTCACTGTGTAATAGCTCGCAAATCACACATGAGATGCAAATCCACTAGGCATTACCGGTGCAACAAGCTCTGAATGAGAAGAAGTCAAACAATTTTAAGTGCAATAAAGTAGAGGAACTAGCTTATTATTCGTTGAATTTCAAACCGTGTTCTCGATTAATAAAGATTGCCGAATAGTATTCTCCTCGTTTATAGATAATCACGACTCAGCAATTTCCTGTAAAGCAACACACTAATTTTAATACTCTTCCATGCTCAGAAACTTGATCAAGAATTAAAGCCGGGACTGAAATAGAAGAAAAAGCCATTGGCATCAATTGGAAATTGAGAAGAGTTGCATGTTGATAACTTAATATGTGGGCCAAACACTTCTAAAATGTTATGCATCCTTTAAAAAGCAATCTTTCAAAAATTATTCATTATTGATGACATTATACAGTTGATGAATCAAGCAGAGGTCAATATAGCTCATTGCTACAGAGAAGCCAACCAAGTGATAGATATACCGGCAAAAAATGCAGCTACTTCTGGCAATAGCTCCTATTGTTACACTTACCAGCAACTCGCAGGAAATGTAAAAGCGCCCCTTTCAACTAGATAAATTGTAACTGTGAGGCTCATATTGAAGAAAATAAAATGAAAAGAAGAAAAATGTGATGGGAGGTGCCTAACTTTATTGAAGAAAAATGGAATGTGAAGTGCCTAACTTTGTTGAAAGATTATAGGACTAAATCAACAACAAGCCATCTTCTTTGTAGTTGTTGGATAGCATCTTTTACTATAAATAGAAGGCTCCATTCTTCATTTCAATTACACCAAAATAATA